CGCTCCCGCTGCTGTGGAAGGCCAGGGTGTCCGGCGTGATGCAGAGGGTCTGGAAGATGGCGGCGGGGGCCACGCTGCGCAGCGCCAGGCTGCACTCCAGGCACACGGCCCAGGCCTCCTGCTCGCTGAGGCCGCCGTCACGCAGGGACAGGATGTCGGCCAGGGACACGTTCTCCTGCCGAGACAGGCGCTGTGGCCGCGGGCGCTCGCCCTCCCGGGGAGCCGGGCTCGGGCGACCTCCACAGCGCACCCCCAGCGTGGACCCCTGGCGGCACAGCCCGCAGGGCGGCCTCCCTGCCTGGGCCCGGCCCCGGCCACTCCTGGCGTCCTGTGCTGCTGGCCCTCGGCGGGGCCGGGCCGGGCCTGGGCCCCTTCGGGCAGCTGAGGCCTCCCATTGGGGACGGCCGGAGTTCGCACCGCTGGGAGGCGGGTGGGGGGGACACCTGGGCCCACAGCCGCAGCCCCGGAGCCCCGCGGCTCCAGCCTGCCAGGGGCGAGCGGGCGAAGGTCTGGGGTCAGGGGATGCCGGGACACCCAGCGCAGGACGGCCCCCGGCGCCCCGGGAGACTGCTCAGGCCCAGCCCCGCCTGGCTCTGGGAGCCCTCGCTGCCCGGCGGTCATGCCACCTCAGGCGTCCCACATGGTGGCCCCAGTGGCCTCTGTGGGGCGTGGGGGCCCCCCAGCCCTCACCTGAGGCTGCTCTGGGGCTCCAGACCCCCCCAGTGGCGTGTGACCTGCAGCGGGGACCTCCCTGCCCTGGGGCGCCCCAGCGGGCCCATGGGGCAGCTGCAGCCCCGACTCCTGGCCCCACAGCTGGGCCCCCACCAGTGTGGCAGCGCCCAATGTGGCCGTAAGGCCCCCAGCACTAGCCCGAGGTACTCCCTAGACAGACCTGTGCCCCCAAACCCGGCAGCTCTCCAGTGAGGGCAGAGTCCGGCTGCCCCCAGGCACTTGTGCAGTGGGGGCTGCTCTGGCTCAGCGGGGTGCTGGGGTCACCCCAGCAGAGGCTGCGCGGCCCCGGGGGGCAGCTTGGGCGTGCAAGCTCCGGGTGCCCATGCCGGGCCTTGGCTCCAGGAGGCCCTCAGGCTGGCGCAGGGCGGCTCCCGGGCGCGAGGCGAGCCTCCCGGCAGACACCCCGAACGCGGCCTGGGTGTCTGGGGGCTGTGGGCTGGGCAGTCAGCGAGCCCCCAGGCTTGCTCCCCTCGCCTGGTGCCCCTCTCTTCAGGCCTGGGGGTGCAGCTGGGCTCTGCCCCCCCACCCCCGTGGAGCCGCCTCCTCCCTGCCCCTGAAGGGCTGCACCCCTGGCGAGGCTCCAGGGCAGGAGGCCGCTCATGGTCTCGGCTGCACAGCCCTTCCAAGGACAGGGCCTTCCTGGCGGGGGGCGAGGTGGACGTTGGCCTGCAGGAGACTCAGCCCTGTTGGGGCCCTGCACCTTGAGAGACAAGGGTGTCCTGGGGACCCCTTCTCACACAGGGCTGGGCCGCGTCCGTGCGGGCTGAGCCTCCCTGGGCCCTGGTCCCACAGGGGAGCGAGGCCCCTGGGTGGAGACCCCCTGTGTGGCCGCGGGGCGGGAACCCCAGTAGTCTGCGCAGGATGCGCCTGGGGGCCGCCGGGGAGGTGGGGGGCTGCTTCCCCACAGCCCCTGGCTGGTCTGACCTCTGGCGCCGCCTGCCGACCTCTCTGCGAGGAGGAAACTCCCCCCGCGGACCCGCGCCCCACTCCTCGCCTGCCTTGAGGTCCAGCCTGCAGGGCGCCCGCGTGGCAGCGGCAGCCTCC